CCTCCTATGTGCGGGATCCAAATGTACCAGACAACGGGACCAAGGATCGCGAAGGCGAGGACTGTGATGGTGAGGGGATTGCGCGGAAGGACAGCTGACATCTAATGAAGGTTAATACCAAACACTGTACCAGTGCATCTATACATGCGACTGGAGCTTTTCGGCATTACGGACAACCGTTCATGAGCTAGTACGGCTCAGATGAGCCAGCTGGCATCATTGGATGTTCTAAAGTAAAAGCGAAAGGCTGGAAGGAAAGGAAAATGTTAAGCACAAGCAGCTTACAGAAATATGAAAAATAAGAAAAAGGTTGCTACGATCAGCCAACTGCCACGTAACGCCGCGTAACGCCGCGTTCACATGTTAATAACGATTTCTGCAAGCTTACGTTGATCACCGACCCTGGTAACGCTCGACATCATGGAAGTAAGATGTAGCACCCGGGCATCCAGACTCCCGGAAAAAGCGCATTACCGTCGTATAAACAACTGAAATCCAGAGAGATGAACTTGCCTTGCCGAGTGCCGATCTGCGTCCGAAACGAAATATTCGCATTGTATTACAAATGCAAGAACCTAAATGCAACCTAACCTGCAACACAAGCAAATTTTGCCCATAATTGCTGAAATTTAAAAACGCATTGAGGTTGACTATCTGACTACTGATACCGACATATTTTGACATTTACAATTACGAGGGTTATCCCGGCTGACTTTCCAATCACCGGCTTTCGCGAAGGCGTCCGCCATGGGACACCAGCCGCCCGGACTTACACCACACAACCATCGTGCACCCATAATCGAGCTTAGGTTGTGAGCTGGACCGTTAAGGCACCCCAACTACCATTGCAACTTTGGCATCGGGAACCGGAGGGATGGCCAACCACAACCTCAGCATCCCGCCACCGGCCTTGGAAACTCGGCTGGTTGCTGAGCACCTTCCCCCGGGCCTCGTCAACTTAGGAAACAGTTGCTACCTGAACAGTGTGCTCCAGGTGTGTCCTTTAGGAGAGGGCAAAGAGGTTGTGGTTATGTCGGTTGGAATGGCCGTACATGCGAAACGAAAGGCAGTAGATTTGGATCATGCAAGCACTCGCTGCTACAGGGCACGACACCGCAGATTCTCAAGCATCATCGTCGTCTCTCGTACACCTTTCCTACATCAGTACACAAGGAGTACGGAAGACGCACAGCAGACAGAACGTACGAACGAGTAGTTTCACATATACATAGAGTTTCAACCGGAATTTACGGGCGACGTCTGAAGTGGAGGGCATGCTGGTCGGGCTTACTTTACCATTTTAACGTATCATCACATATGTAAGAGTCACTGCTGCGAACACACACGCTTGTAATCCTCCCCAACAGGCGGTGGCCTCCTCCCCACGCTTCTGCTCCTATGTGGCGGAGCGCGCCCACTCCGTGCGGTACACCAAGTCGCGGATCCGCGAAGCTGAACACCAGAAGCTTCAGCCGTCCGCCCGTCGCAGCTCACCACCACTTC